AACTCACCTTCTGTTTATATTTTTCTTCGATTTCTTCCCCGTTCACTGTGTTGCCTCATAGTTTGTGCTTCCTTTTTTGTTGGAATAGGGAGGCCAGATACCTTGCATTGATTTGGCCATGTTCATCTCTCTGTCACTATTCTTCTGACCCCATAAAACTATGCTTTACAGAATAAACTGGCCAGTGGTCACTGGCCATTGTTTTTCAGGCTACCCTTGCATTGCATATTTCGGTATGTTTATATACACATGTGTGTATATGTGCACATATATATCATAGATAATATGTATATGTATGTAAGTATACCCCACTGTGTGTGTGGGTTTATCCCACATTACAAAAATCCACCAAGTTTTTTTTTTTTTTTTTTTTTTTTGAGACAAAGTCTTACTATGTGGCTCAGGCTGGCCTCAAACTCACTATGTAGTCCATGCTGTCCTTGGACTCACAGTTATGGACTGTCTCTGCCTCCTGAGTTCTGAGATTTAGTGATGTGAACCCACCATGCCCAAAAGGTTTTTGTCATATAGACTGACATGTAATTCAGAGTAAACTTTGACTGTTTAAAATCTAGCATTCATTCCAAGTCCAAAGAATGATTTTTAGGGGATATTTGTACTAACAGAATTTTATCTATCTATCTATCTATCTATCTATCTATCTATCTATCTATCTATCTATCTATCTATGTATCTATTCATTCATTCATCCATTCATTCATTCATTTATTTAGTGCATTTAGTGTGTGTGTGTGTGTGTGTGTGTGTGTGTGCTGGCCACAGTTATGTATAGAGGTCAGAGGGCAACCTTCAGGAGTTAATCTTCTACTGTGAATTCCAGGAATCACTCTCAGATCATTAAATGTGCAGAGGAAGGACTTTACCCACTGAACCATCTTGCTGACCCAAGCTACACAGTTTTTGAGGATTATTTATAAATATAATTTATAAATATTTCACAGTAAGATCTCATTCTTAGGAAAGATTGTTTCTCTTTTTTTATAGAACATTATAAGTAAAGAGAGGAAGGATAGGCAAATCTGAAATTTTTCCCTTTTGTTGAATCCTTTCTTTTAGGGTTGAAGGACTGTCTTCCAACTCAAGTCATAGTTGTTAGCAAATTCTAACTACTGTGAAAGGAAGTGATGTGATTCACCAATATAGATGGTAGTTACTTTTACTTTTTGGAGGACATAGAAAATGATGACATCCTTGCCTACAAGAGAAGTTTCAAGTGTTTTAGGTCTTTCATTGGGTGAATTAACCTGGTGGGAAGATCCTCTTATCATATTAAATACTCCTATTCCCCAGTCTGTGCTGATTGTAGAGATTTGGAATGGCCAGTGATGTGTCTTCACCCTAAGGATGAGACAACACAACAGCATATCTATGAAGACAACTCTAAACTTCCAAGCCTGCATTAAGCCAAAAGTTTTATGAGTTAATGTTAAAAATCCAATGGCTCCTATTTAGTGATTGCCTAGAGGATCACTGTGCTGTTTTATAATGTCGTATACAATGGCAAAGTATTGTCAAATGGTGACATTGGGATCTACAGAATCAGAATGCTACTTTATTTTTTCATTATGAATGTCAAGTATTTAAAAATATTTAATAAGTCATCAGCAAAAACTGGAAAAATGATATTAACTCCTAATTCTAAAGGTAGAAATATAAGTATTTTCTTCATCCATTAAAAGAAAATATAAGAGATCCACAAAATTTCATAAGTACATATGTCCTTCCACCTTTCCTGTCTTTTCTTCTCTTCTTACTTCCCTCCCTCCCTTTCTTCTACTTATGAAGGACTCCAATCAACATCTACATTGGACTAATGTTTGAGTAACTTTACCTACAATGTTCAATCTACTCATCTACTGGTTTGTTCAACCATCCATCCATCCATTCACCCATACATCCATTCATCCATGCATACATCTGACCATTCAGTAATTTGTAGTTTATCCACCCAGCCACTGTTCTACATTTATTGATCTATCTATCCCCTAAGTTGAATGCCTAACTTTGAGTAAGTCCAGGACAGGTTTTTGTCTTTGTTTTTTGAGACAGGGTCTCTCTATGTATCCTTGGCTGTCTTGGAACTCACTCTGTAGACCAGGTTGACTCTGCCTCTTGAGAGATGGAATTAAAAGTATGTACCACCACTGCCTTGTCAGGACAGTTTTTTTCTTAAATAAAATATCTTTAAATTTATATTTTTTGATTATGAGTTTCAAATGGAAAAAAAAATAGAAGGGGCAAGAACACAAAAAATTCCAACATTTGAGATCTTTTCAGTGTTCATTTGAAAGCACTTGACAATTTGTCTGACTATGGGCAATGTTCAACAGACTTAACCTTTGGCATAATGCAAATGTCTTTTATATCTCATACATTGATTATGAGACTATTTTGAGGTCATGTGTATATCCTATTTCAATTATCACTCAACTGTTTAATCTCTGTTGATGAATGTTAGCAGAATAGATTATTTTACAGTGATGACTTTCTTTTACCCTTTCTTTATTGGCTAGAATTCATCTGTAAAGAAGAGCTTTCTCTTCTTTCCCCTTCTGTGTACCTATATTTCTTTTTTTTGTTTTTGTTTTTCTTTTCTTTATTTTATTTTTCTTTATTAATTACACTTTACTCACTTAGTATCCCCCCACGTGGTTCCCTCCCTCCTCCTGTCCCAATCCCTCCCTTCCTCCACCCTCTACATGGATGCCCCTCCCCAAGTCCACTGATAGGGGAGGACTTCTTTTCTTTCCTTCTGATCCTAGTCAATTAGGTCTCATCAGGAGTAGCTGCCTTGTCCTCTTCTGTGGCCTGGTAATGCTGCTTCCCCCTCAGAGGGAGGTAATTAAAGAGCAGGCCAATCAGTTCATGTCAGAGACAGTCCCTGTTTTTATCACAATGGAACCCACTTGGATACTGAACTGCCATGGGCTACATCTGTGCAGGGGTCTTAGGTTATCTCCATGCATAGTCCTTAGTTGGAATAGCAGTCTCAGGAAAGACCCCTGTGCTCAGATTTTTTGGTTCTGTTGCTCTCCTTGTGGAGTTCCTGACCTCTCCAGATCTTACTGTTTCCCACTTCTTTCCTAAGATTCCCTGCACTCTGCCCAAAGGTTGCCCATAAGTCTCAGCATCTACATTGATAGTCTTCGGGGCAGAGCTTTTCAGAGGTTCTCTGTGTCAGGCTCCTGACTTGTTCCCTCTTTTCTCCTTCTTCTGATGTCCAGCCTCTTTGTCTTTCTGGATAGGAATTGAGCATTTTAGCAAGAGTCCTCCCTCTTGATTAGTTTCTTTAGGTGTACAGATTTTAGTAGGTTTATCCTATATTATATATCTATATGAGTGAGTATATACCGTGTGCATTCCTCTGCTTCTGGGATACCTCACTCAGGATGATCTTTTCCAGATCCCACCATTTACCTGCAAATTTCATGATTTCCTTGTTTTTTATTGCTGAGTAATATTTCATTGTGCATCCATTCCTCCACTGAGGGGCATCTGGGCTGTTTTCAGCTTCTGGCTATTACAAATAAGGCTGCTACAAACTTGGTTGAGAAATGTCCTTATTGTGTACTTGAGAATCTTTTGGATATATGCCTAGGAGTGGCCTAGTATTTTTTAAGCACATGAAAGTTGACTCTCCTGTAGGACTTTTCAGGAAATCTCACCTTGGTCATCGTTAAGGAATCTCATTTGTCAGAAACTCACCTGAGTTACTCCTACCATTGTGGGGAATCCCTCATGATAGCTCAGGGCCCCAGTGTTACGGTATTCTATACTCTGAAGAAATGTCAAGATTCTGAATTGGAATAGCAAGGTCTATGGGAGGTCTGGACAGCAGAAAACCTAACAGTTAACACTGGCCGGTAGAATTGAAATGACTTGCAGCTGCAGCTGAAAGCTATAATGTAACCAGCAAAGTGTTTTATGAGTTCCTGATCCTGAGTTACCAATGAATACAACTATTTGGTAATGAGTAAAGCCAGTCAGTTTGTAGCAATTCTTTTCTTCAAACTCAGGTGAATTGGCTTTCTGATATTTTATTAATTTGAGTTTCACTCACCATTTGTGAGACTTGACTTTGGCAAATTCCATGAGAGGACTTTGCTGGAGAGATGGCTTAGAAGTTAAGAACACCAGCTGTTTACCCAAAGGTCCTGAGTTCATATTCCCAGCAACCACACAGTGGCTCATAACCATCTATAAGGATATCTGGTCTCCTCTTCTGGTGTGCGAGCATGCCTGTAGGCAGAATGCTGTACAAAATAATAATAATAATAATAATAATAATAATAATAATAATAATAATAATAATAATAATAATAAAAACTTACAAAATTCCATGAGAGGAATTTATTGCCTTTTAAAATCCAATTTGTTACAAAATTTGCCTAGAGCTATTTTTTTTTTAAATTTACTTATATTTTGGTGTTTCAAGATGGGGCTTCTTTATGTAGCCTTGGTGATCCTGTAACTAGCTCTGTAGACCAGGCAGGCCTCGAACTCTCAGAGATCCACTTGCCTTTGCCTCCGAAGTGCTGGGATTAAAGGCATGGACCACACCACTGCATGGCTGAGCTAATTAAAAAACAAAAAACAAAAAACAAAAACTTGCCAATGCACCATATAATTCTTCATGTTGCTTTATGCAACTTGTCTGTCTGAAGTTATATGCAAATTAATTCATACGTATATAATATGTTAATATAGCTTTTCCTATTCATTTATTTAGTGTTTTAAATAAGACTACTTGTTCTAATTAGTATGTATATATCATTAATGTGGAATCTTTATCTTGGTAGGTTTTTTTTTTTTTTTTTTTTTTACCTCATCAACTGTTATGGTCCTCAAAAGTACACACTCTCAATTATTTCAGCATTCTCAATTACCTATGCCCCTTTCTGTTCTCCACATTTGTAAATAAAACCACATTCAGCCAAAACTTTCTCATCCTAGATTGTACTCTTTTTATGTGCTTTTAGGAACAACAAAGGACAACCTGGAGTGGAGGATGCAGAAGACAAGTGTGAAAACATAATCACAATTGAAAATGGCATCCCTTGTGATCCCTTGGACACAAAGGGAGGGCACATTAATGATGGCTTCTTGACAGAGGATGAGCGCCTCACTCCTCTCTGAGAGTGACAGCTGCTTGGCAGATTTATTTGGTTTCACCATTGTTTTTATTTTGTAAGAAATTTTCAACACGCTTGAATGCAATAGACAACAAATTAATTATAGCCAAGACCACTGAAATCATAAGGTGTTGGCTTCTCAAAATATTCTATATTTTCTTCTGATAATTGAGTGTGTAAGTGTAGTCGTGTGTATTTGTAGTTACTGATTTGAGCATTTCTAGAAATAAAGCCAGGGCTCTTAATATATTTCACACTTTAAAGAGAGAAGGAGAAATATTTTTTCCAGTGGAGAATAGCTATAGCATGGCATAGAAATAATTGAAAGGGATCTGTTTTGAATATTGTTTATGTTACTCTGTTTATGATGAAGTGAGGAAAAGTAACATGAGGTGGATAAAAATGGCAATGGAACTTTATTCTGTTATCACACCAACAGTTGCTGTATATTTTCTGCGTATCAGTCTTCAGTAGGGTCAGCAGATGTATTTGTTGTTGACTATTTGCAATTTGAACAAGTCCTATATACGCTGATTTAATAAAGCACTAATCTCATTTGGACTGTATGATTGACTGTGGTTTGAGACATTTTCACGCTGTGGAACCTAGTGAGAATAACTTTATCAATTGTATTTAACTTTATCTACAGCCCTGGAAAGGTATGTTGTTTTCATGTGTGTATATCTTTTTTGTTTGTTTGTTTAGTTTTAAAGACAGGTTTTCTCTGTGTAACAGCCTTAGCTGCTGTGGAGCTCACTTTGTAAACCAGACTGGCTTTGAACTCACAGAGATCTGCCTGCCTCTATTTCCCAAGTGTTGGGACTAAAGGCTTGCACCACTACCACCTGGCTTGCAGTCACTTGTTAGTTTTTAGATGTGAATTTTTTAAATTTAAACTAACCTTTAAACTTATGCATAAAATTATATATTGTTAGTTTTCCACACACACACTCAGCCTGCACACACGCATGCACATGCCTACATGTGCCATAGTATGTATGGTATGTGGAGGTCAGAGGACAGTTTTGGAGGAATCATTTTATCCTTCTACCACATGGGCTACAGGGATTTAACTCATGTTGTCGGGGTTTGCAGTAAGCAGACTTACCCATGAAACCATCTTCCAGCCCAATATTTATATAGGTATAATATACACATGGCAATATTTATCTACAACACATTCATAGCAATACATTATTTACAGCATGATTTTTTTTAGTAGGTATATCACTATGTAACTTTGGCTGGCCTAGAACCCAGTATGTAGACTATGTTGGCCTCATGGACTCACGAGATCCATGGACCTCTACTTTCCGAGTCCTGGAATTAAAGGCTTCATCAGAACACAGAGCATGATGTTTTGATATCTCTATACAATTGCGTGATGTTTAATGTGGATTAAACATACTTATCTTCTCAAACAGTATTTCCTTATGGTGAAAACATTCAAAATATTTTCCTCTAGCTTTTAAAAACGCAAACCACATCATTATCTGCAGTCACCCTACTGTGCATTGGCATACCAGAACTTCATATTCCCATCTAACTATTACTTGGTTTCCACAAATCTCCTTTCCTCACTCCCTGCTACTCTGGTAATAATTATTCTGTTCTCAATTTATTTCTTTATATGTAGTACTAGGCATTGATACCAGTCCTTGCATATACTAAACAAGCATCACATCACTGGGCTAGCTCCCCAGCCCTCTACTCTCAACTTCTATGAGTGGAAAGGGATTTTGATCTTTTGGCTGGCAAGGTGGGATTTACTAAAGTACAATTATATCTTTATTTTATTTAATTTTTAAAGCTTTACTTAGAGTTTGTGGGTATGGGTGTGTTGCCTGCATATGACCTTTTTCTCCACTTGTATGTAGTACCTGAGGAGGCTGGAAAAGGAGCTCAGGTCCCTCGGAACCAGAGTTAAAGATAATTGTGGCCGATGGGAATGAAAAGCAGGTCCTCTGGAGAAGCGGTTGGTATTCTTCACTGCTGAGCCATTTCTCCAGCCCCCCCTCCCCCCGCCAAGGCTCAATTTTATATCTTACATCCTCTTGAGTTGTACCCTGTAAGACCACTCTAGTGTGGCTTTATATATAGAAGTCTTTAACAGCAAAATGTTATCTGAATTTACTCTGTGAGTGTTAGCAAGCAGAATCCAAGACATGCATTCCAAACAAGGTACATAGTTTTTAATTGAGGGTGGTGGTGAGATTTGATATATTGCAATGGTTTGTGGCCCTTCAAAAGATTGTAGAACATAATACATACAGAACATATTATATGTATTTACATTTTTATGGCACAGCTATTAGAAAAATGCCTTAGTTATGGAAAAAGTTCAAGTAACATTAATACCAGTTATGGATTGTACTTTGAAGTCATGAGATGAGCTCCTTTCCGTCACTACCCCATTTTCTTTACTGTTTATCCTGACAGGGAGGGTTTCCTCTCACTGGAAAAGGTCTGCTCCACTAAACACCTCATTTGAGAAAATTTTTATGCTAACAGACATGTGCTGTAACCTTGACAATCACTATAACAGCAAAATGCAGATTATGCCTCCTGCCTTTGACAAACACTGTGGGTAAGAGAGGAGTCAATCATCAACCACACTTCTCATTTTGAATGCAATGATCATGTAATGTGCCAAGAGGAAAACCATTGTGAGGTGATATGTACTGGAAAACAAATGTTGTAAAGCACGTGTAGATAGAGCTGTTTTTCTAGTCTCTAAGTTCTTAGCAGAAACTCCTCAATGAAACTGGGAAAACAGCACACCAGAAAGCCAACACAAAACAGAAACAATTAGCAGAGAGGGTGATATCTGGACATATTTCGTGGAAGAAATGTAAATGCTGATAAGTTGGTCTTTGAAAATAAACTTTAACATTCATGGTTCCCCTAAGAAGCAACTAAAATAAAACACTGTAAAAAGAGAGTGTGGGGCTAGGTTATAATGCAGTGAAGAAGCAATGCTTGCCTACCCTGTGGGAGACATGAGGCTCTGGGTTCCATCCACAACAGACACACACACACACACACACACACACACACACACACACACACACATCACATGGTGGGAGGCAGTGAGCTCATGCATTTAGAATAATTACCACATTTCAGATATGAATATTCTGAACTGGGAACATTTACTGTCATTCCTCCGTAACGAAATAAGAGTGTTAGGTCTCAAACCAGGAGCAAATGGCTGACTGAGGTGTCCATTAACATAACAAGGTGGACCTGACTGCCAGATTCTCCCCCAGTCTCTACCTATTACAGTGCCTTCTTGGCTGGCATACCCTGCTCCCATACTCTGAACTCTCCAGCCCAAGTATTAATTAGGCTGGGCTCTCCCCCTTCCCTCTGGCACTTATATAACTCAGTCATTTTGGCTATGCCAGTCTCTTTTCCAGTCTCTTGGCCCAGGACACCCATCTTCATCAGTGGCTCCTTTCTCCTTCTTCCTGTCCTTTTATGGCCCAGCTCAAGGTCATGTTCACTCTCGACTCTCCTGGATATCTCTGCTTCTGACTATGTTCTCCTTCATATCTACAGTAAATCTTCTCCACCATACCTAGGAACAGTCATATCCTTCCTTTTTACTTCTTTTTTTTCATTCATCTGGTGCCAAACTCGGGATGCAGATTCTGAGGGAACACCTGGAGCTGGCAAATTGCTGGAGCTGTCTGCAGTTGACTTGAACAGGTTTGGAAGCAAAAAACAATAAAAGGGGACTCAGCATCCAAATTACTAAGCTCTACTTAAAAAGTCATGAAGCTCCTTAATATTTTATATTATGTTTTATATTTTGTTCCCTCCCTTAAATTAGCACATAAAAAGCTTTTTTCTTTGCTGGGTTAGGGGCATAAGAGAAGAAGACGGAGAGAGGGTGGGATTGGGAGGGAGTGGGGGAGGGGGCTATAGCTGGGATACAAAGTGAATAAACTGTAATTAATACAAATAAAATAAAAATTAGAAAAATACTTAAATATATGAAAGTTTATATAGGAAAATATACTTTAAATAAATCTAATTGAGTAATAAAAAAGCTTTTTTCTCTTCTTTTTCTACTTTCCTTTTTCATTTCTTCATTCTCTTCTCATTCTCAAGAACATGCTTGATGCTTTTCATCTCATTCACAAAATCATGCCAGATTCAAGAAATATGAACAGAGAAAGGTATGAAGACCTTTAAAGGACACTGACCTTGGTAAATTGTCTACCCGCTCACCAATCCAATTTGAAGCTTTTATCCAGTAGCTGCACAAATTGTTTTTGTTATTAAGTAGTCAAATATTACATCAGGTCAAATATTAATGACACTTTGGCTCTTTTACATTGACTTGCTGGCTAGGTACCTAGAGATGAGTCACCCATCTTGTTTCTTTCATAATTTGTACCTCCTATGAGAAAGGTTTCAAAGGTCCCTGAGAGGACAGGGCCCTACAAACAGAAGAAGAGTGTTTTACATTCACAGAAGCCCTTAGGCTTCTGTGTGGGATAATTCCAGGTGACCTGACTTGCTTTCTTAAGCTCTAAGAAAATTTAAATCAATGACTAAAAGACCTAGAATCTACTATCCTCAAAAGGGGCAAAAGGTGGCCAATGTCAATACCTTTGTCATCATGTTGAGTGACTGGGGCTTTCATTTAATGCCTATCACACAGTTTGCTTGCTGGATTATCATCTGTGTAGCTACAATGGGAGAACAGCAAGGCTTATGTAAGTACCATGATTGCAGAAGAGAATGTTTGGACATGCACATTCCAGTAAACCAGTCCTCTAAATACTTTGTAGGAAACTTCGTTGAGGAATAGAACAAAGTTTTGTTTCTTCAGGGCAGGAGGAGGCTTGAAAGTCTTGTGAAGGGCCAAAAGTGATCATATTTGCAGATTTTCTGAGTTGTGTAAGTTTTGCATGCATTGAGAAGTGAGCTAGATTCCAATTTGTGTACTCCCTTCTTTCACTTTTCTGATAGATCTCCCTATTTTTGCAATCAGGGGCTTACATTACCCCTAAGAGTCATTCTAGATATGAATACTAGTCCATGTTATAAACTATCTCCTTAAATAAGCCCCTCCTTGTTTTTCTTTGTGTATTCAAGTTAGACAGTTTCTATGTCATTTTTTTATAAATCATATAAAAAGTCATTCACTACTCGTATTTTATTCACTCAGTTTTACTGTTCTTTTGTTTGTTTTGTTTTTGAGACAAGGCCTCACTATGTAGCTCTGGCTGTCCTAGAACTCACTATGTAGATCACGGTGGCCTTCATTATTCTTTTAAAAAATAATAATATTTATCCTTGATAGGCATAGTGATGCAAACCTTTAATCTCAGCACTTAGGAAGCAGAGGCAGGAAGATCTCTGTATGTTTGAGGCCAGTCTGGTCTATACAGTGAGTTTCAGGCTAGTTTGAGCTACACAGTGAGACCTTGTCTCAAAAAGTTATTTATTGTTTAAAAATTTCACATATTTATTGTAGTGACAATTCTGAAATTTTGGTTTCTTTAAAAGACACAGAAATATTATAAGAATATGTTTTCATTTTAAT